TTTAAATTTTTAGGTGTAACTTCTAGATTCAGCTAAAGTTACTAATCGTCTCCCAAATACAAAGGATAAGAAAGGATTTTTAAGTTACTTTATCAATTTTATTGATTTATCACTTCAGTCACTTTGAAATAAAAGAACAAATAAATTTAAACCCTGTATTTCAAATACTTCAAAGATTATTTCAAAGATATTCTCTCTCTCTCTCTTTTTTTTTGTTGGTGAGGGAGATTGGCCCTGAGCTAACATCTGTGCCACCGAAGTGGAGTGCATGAACTTAACCACTACGCCACCAGACTGGCCCCTCAAAGATATTCTTAATGTCATCTTCTTAAGACATTTCTTCATCATCTACACTGTAACTTTTTCCTCCCCTGAAACTTCTCGAATTTTACTGACGTTGACTCTTAATTTTAATTAAAGCTGAAGCTACATGATACTAAAACTCCCAATGAATTCAGGTCAGTGAAAAAAAAAATCAGTCAATTTAGGAGAAATAAGACATTTAAGTAGCTTCTTGCTCATTTTTTCCTTTTTGAATGCTCTTCTGACATTGTCTAGTGAATCAGTTGATAATCATCATTTATAAGACCGGAGTTTGTTCCAGCCTAGCAGAAATTTGAAGAAAAGGGTATTTACACCAAAACATTAAGTTACTTTCCCAACTATAAGAAAGAGAAAAACCAAATAAAGGAAAAGAGACTTATCAAAGTTTGCTTTGCTTAATATAAATTTTCCATTGGTCTGAGAGATGATGCCATCCTTTCTTGGCACAGATTTAGGCAGCAAATAAAGACTAGGGCAAGATGCTGGGCTTGGGGAAAAATGTAACTCCTTATGGTTCAGATCTTCCTAATTCTGTGTCAGTGCCACACTCCCAGAAACCAGGCCCCCTAGTGGACTGAAGGAGTTAATGATTTCAACACTGGGATGCAGGAAGCTGAATAGAATGGTATTTAATGATCTTATTCACTCATTTATACAGCACTCATATCCCAGGCACTGTTCTGAGCAGGTTATAAACGTCAATTCCCCTAATTCGCACAACACTGAATGAAGGAGGGACTAGCATCCAAATTTTATAGACCGAGAAGCAGGTGTAGAGAGGTTCGGTAACCTGCCCAAGGTCACACAGCTGGTCAGGGGCACAGCTGGGATTTGAAGGCTGAAGCCAGCTCCAGGGTCCATGCTCAGAACCACCTACACCACCACACTGCTGGTGAGGTTCTCAGAAAATGAACCACATGGAGAATTTATTCAAATATCTAGCAATGTTCCCTTCTCTAGAGGCTGGCCTTGTGGTAATTTTAACCTTCCAGAATATAGCTGCAACTCTGGATATAGTTCATTAAAGCAAAAAACAATGAAAGAGAAGAAAATAGAGAAGTCAAAGGGCCATCGGTAACCAAAGCTATTGGAAAGTCCATCCAATTTACTCCATAGGAGACACGCTAAAGCCTGTTCTGTCTATTGATACGCAACTGGAACAAGCCTAATTACCTGTCCAGACTGGGAAGTTCAGAAGCACAGCAAATTAGAAGGTAAAGCAACAAAGAGCAAGAAGAATTGACAGTCGCCACTGAAGCAGGAGACAGAAAATTTATAAGACGAGACAAAAATCCTAAAAGTAGTCTAGGCCCATTTAAAGTAGGAAGAAAAGGCCTAATATCCACCTCAAATGTTCTGAGCATCACTGAATGGACTAGAGAACAACAAAGCTTGGCAGGACCACTCCTGACCATAGACGGGGAGGCCCGTGTCTGATCGCACGGAATAGCTGCACCCAAGGATGCACAAGGCTGAGCTCACTGCCGTGTAACACTCATCAACACCTGGTTTGAAAGCCCATGAGAAGAGAAGCTTGAAGGACATTCAAAACCTGCCCAGTGGAAATCAGACTGGCAGAGCGCTGGCTGGGGAGCCGGTGTGCCCTGTGTCCTCCCTCTGCTCAACCGCGCCGACTCAACGCAAATGACACGTTGGTGTGGTTTCAGCAGCCCATATTAATGATTTTCTTTTAAAGTTCTATGAAATTCTTGGATGTTACACGGCTGGCTGCAAGGATGATGTTTATCTGTCACATGTCCGCTCTGTGAGGAAGGCCTTAGAGCCAACCCTATCTGATCTTAGCAGCAAGAACCGTTATGTTTCTCCTTAGCAACTGATTCATTTGGATCTTCAGACACAGGAGCTGTGTAACTGACTTATTCAGGTTTCCCTTTCCAGTTTGGCTGCTAGGACACTGGGGTCAAATTAGTGGCCCTCCATGCAGCCAGCATGCTGGTCATCACGGTGTGAAGTTTTAGGCTCAGTTCAGGCTCCATTTCGTGTCTTCCTTCCCTCGTTTCTTTCTTTTTTTTTTTGGTGAGGAAAATTGGCCCTGAGCTAACATCTGTGCCAATCTTCCTTTATTTTGTATGTGGGATGCTGCCACAGCATGGCTTGATGAACGGTGTGTAGGTCCATGCCCGGGATCCAAACCCACAAACCCCAGGCTGCCGAAGTGGAGCGCGTGAACTTAACCGCTTCTCCACCAGGCCAGCGCCCCCCTCCTCCCTTTTCTGTCTTCCTTTTTCGTCCATTTATTCTATATTGTATTTCAAACTTCTTTGAAGTTTGAAAGGCCAGCTTACATCCTTTCTAGAATTAGGTCAAGAGTAAATACATGAACAAATGAGTGAATGAATGACCTGTAGATAGGGAAACTGAGGTTCAGAGATCGCCTAAGTAACTGGTTCATAACAAGCTAGGATCTATGTCTCCTGACTTTTGACTTAGTGTCCTAAATAAATTGTATTAATAATGGTGATTCTCAATCATGAACACCCTTTAAATTGTATTTAAAATACTATTTCTAAGAAGAAAGAAAAACATAGATATTGGGTAAATGAGAAGTTTCCGGATAAAGAACATACCAAGAAAATAACTATGTTGTGTCGTGAAACTAAAGGAGCTCTTTAGTACTATGAAAGCCCCCAAAGCAAGTCAACAGACTTATTTTGATTCCCAGTGTATTTTATGTAATACTGATACGTCAAATCTGCGTGTTAGGTTCCAGTAACTACCCCAGAGAAAATGTCTCGAACTGTGATTTCTGTAGAGTCAAAAAATTCTGACCTCAAAGCTGTCATCTAGAAGTTGATATCTGACTTGCGAGTCACATCTTATTAGAATGGTATGATAGCCATTTATCAGAATAATATGTCTTCATCAGTCACTGAGGTATCACCGTGCTTTGAAAGTTCTGAGACAATTTAAAGAAAGTATAAAAAGAATGCATAAGTATGATATTAAGTTCCAGAAGGAAAGAAATGAAATAGTAGACAGTCTAAAAGGTGCATCTGTAATTGAATTCATTCAGAAGCCAGTGCCCGGGTGTCTTTACCCTCACAGGCACCATCCTGCACTGTAACATTTCCTTCGTAATAGGCAATAGCATAAGCCCTGTGGAATGAATTTCAAAAGGAAGAGATGTTATAAGAGATTTATTAGATGTTAAATGAATTTAGAGGCTGACTAATGTTTTTAGAAAACAAATTAGGGCAAGTCCCAAGTTTCCAGAAACAATATAGCTCAAAGACCTTTACAGACTTCGCTGCAATCAAAATGCGATTGATCACATTTGCAAAGGCTGGAAGAATAAGTAACTGCCAAGAAATAACCCAGGACGTTAGAGCATAAAGCATGACCATAAAGTAAGGAAGCTGACTTTTAACAGACATCTCAGAGCTCACAAATCCAAATGAGCGTTGCCTTCAGAGTAGTCACTTTGAGAGGCCGATACTTAATAATGCGATTGTTTCAAAACTCTGAGAATCCTTTAGTCAACCTTTGGTTAACACAGTCAGGGCCCTCAGCACTTTATTTTGAATATCCTCTGTGATAGTCAGTCTTCACCTCTGAGGGGGATTTGGAGCTTATTTAGGCAAAAAAAAAAAAGCAGGACGCTAAAAGCAAGTGTGTGTGTGCGCGCGCACGTGCACAAGTGGTTTAAACAGCAGTTCTGAAGATGATTGCTGCGATACTGCAAGCAGTGGTCATATTCCTGCCCTAAGACTACAGTGTCTCAAGATGACACAGTTGTTAGTGGTTATTTGACGACTTGAGATAACCACCACCACCACCACATATTGAGCGCCTCGTGTGTGGCAGACAGCGTGCTAAGTACCTGGCGTATAGTCTCCTGTAATCTTCAGGACTCCACAGTTGGGTGTTATGATCTCCATTGCATAAATGAAGAAACTGAGGCTTCACAGTCTCGAAGTCACACGGTGAGTAGGTGAGGGGCTGGGATTTGAACCCGGGATCGTCTGACACTGGACTTCATGCTCTTACAACTCCACAGTGAGTAGGGCCTCTCACAGCTCAGGGCTGGGACTCACCAGCATGTGCTCTACCAGGCAAACTCGTGCTGGCATTTATTCCACGAGAGAGAGATCACTGCTCCCGAGCGCCCTTTCATTTTATCCCCAGGCGATCGTGAAAAGGTAACACCGAGGGATGAAAAGGAGGCAGGAAGTAGACAAACACCCACTTTCTAAAATCAGAGAATTTTCTCAGCAGTAGAATGTGAGAGGTGGTGGGCCTTTCTGGGGCCAGGACAGGAAGAGACCAGTGAAAGCAGGATAGGATTTGGAGGTATAAATAGATAAACACTCAGAGATCAACACCTAATTTCTCGCATGGGCAAAACACTTCTGAAATCTTGCCAAATCTTAAGCTGGGTGATTTTAAAATGAGAATGGTAATCCTTGAGACTATTATTATAGGAGCATTTAGATGAAAAGTGTTATAGAAATAACTAATGATCTTCATCGTATAAGCATCCCGAAATGTTAACTGTCAGTAATTTGGACACAGTAATTAAGGAAAAGCCAGCTAGAGGAGATGTCAAATGTGTTCTCATCGTTTCCTAACTATATATTTAAATCTTTGGCCTTGATGGTAATTAGCCACGAACATTAACCTTCTTAGAGTTTTAAATAAAGATACTGGAAAATTACCTGGTGGTACTTCTTCAGGATGTTGTGCATTTCCGCCACGTCTTCACTTGTGATGGTCTTAATGATGTATCTCTTGTCGTAGGAAGTGTGGAAACGAGCTCCGCTCCGCGCCTGGGAGTCGTTGGGAAGGGGCGCGCTCCTGGTCAAGGAATTCTTCCCGTTGGGATGGAGGGGAGGAGGGAAGACAACCCATTAGATGTGGCTTTCTGATTTCCAGATAATTTGTTGTCATCATAAGTTTTCAAAAACATTTGTGCTTGCAAGAAATTGGTAAGTCAAGTGACAACATTTTATATTCATCATAATTCAAATTGCTAGTCTTTCAAATGAAATGAAAACAGCTTGGGTATGTAGTACGATTCTTAATGTCCTTGAAGTAGGCTAATGTCTAGAATTATAATCAAAGTTGCTTTGTTCACCTTGTTCTTTTCTGAGGTGGACAAGAGCTCAAATTTTCTTCTGAATAAAATTACATTCCAGTCATGAAAGAAAATTTTGCATTCACTGAATGTTTCGCCATAGGACAGGTATTCTGCCAAGCATTAGGCACAAAGTATTTCTCCCAATTCTGATAACATCCCCATGAGATGGTTACTATTAATAGATTCTGATTTGGTCCATCCTCCACGCCCCCGTCAGCCATTTTTGAGAACGACTAATCTCCTGGAGGGTACACAAGGAGGGGCTCTGAGCAGGGGCTCTTCTAGCATCATTTCATTCCAGTATCTGGCTCATGCTATCGACACTCTAGCTAGGGAAGTCTACCCTTTTCTCATACGTGACTGTGTTTGAAATTCCTATTTTCTTAGAGCCTCCAGGAAGCCCCTCCCCTGTCCCCCAACCTTCTTTATTATCACCCAAAAGACTAGGATTAGCAAACATCTAGCATCTGAGAAGTCTGGTCTTCACCTCTGCCAACTGCCTTCTTCAGTGTTGACTTTCCTCCCCTGCCTGGCCCACGGGATTGTGTGTGAGGGATTCAAAGGCAAGAACTTTCCCTCAACTTCCTCTCGGAAAGTGGGCATCCAAAAGCCCCAGTGAACCAAATGCTGTCTAGTTGAGGGACAGAGATATCCTCAGAGAGGTAGGTGATATCAGGGCATTATGGATTTTCAATGAAAGAGTTCCCTTTCTGTCTAGTGTACTCAAGTCTCTTTATCCTTGCCTTCCTTTCCAGATGAAATCTAATACCATCTAGCCACATGAAGGATAATTATAGTGCAGTGGCAGAGCAGCTCATGGAGTTCCTTTGCGTGCTGAGGGAAGCAGCCCATGAGCTCATTCTCGTTTCCAAGGTATTGGAAATAGGCCCGGGCACCACTGCAGCATATTATGACATTCTGAGATAGTCCATCCTGATCCGAGTGCAAGCAGGCACACTTGTCCAGTGCAGAGCCAGCACTGCCAATTAACTGAATTTGCTTTCCTTAGCTTGTTAGAAAACTGGAAAGAAGGAAAAAAAAAAATCAATGTAACTCCCAATGACTTTAAATAGCAGGATTTGGCAGTGTTAAATTATTCTGAAGACACCTGAAATTCATTAGACTGAGAAGGATGAAAATGACTTTCAGGATGAAAATGGCTATATTAACAAGAGTTTAATTCTCAATTACATTGTTTCCTCAAAAAAAAACTTCTCCTTTATACTACTTCCTACTAAGAATAAAAAGGAAGAAAATCAAAGTGAATGATCCCTTTTGGGGTTTTAAACACTAGCAAAGAAAGCAATCATTGCTCTTGGATAACAGTCTTACTTTTTCCTCCAAAATATTAATTTGCAATAAGTTATTCCAAATAAAAGAAGAACACTAGGAATCGTAAGATTACAAATTACTTTCAGGCATAAAATCAAAGCAGGAACAATCAACTTTATGACAGCCAGGCAGAACAGGTTATAAACTTTGTAAAACTGACAACACATGTAAAATAACTTTTGGGGGCAGTGGGAAATAGTAAAAGATAACTGTATTCAGCAAAGCCCAGAATTATAGCAGCATCAGTTTCGTAGATCGTTTTCTTAGGCATATTAGACAGGAAAGTAACGTTCTATCACGGACCAATGGGACAGAATGAAATTGGAAGCTGCATAGTCAGTGCTTCTCAAACTTTAACGAGCAACTGAGTCACCAAGGGATCACGTTAAAATGCAGATTCTGAGCCAGCAGGTGTGGGGTGGGGCATTAGAAGAAGCAGATGATGCTGATACAGCAGGTCTGCAGAACACAGGGGAGAACCAAGAGTTTACTGAATCGTGGCTGTGATATGTTCTGTCAGGTGCAGAGTGTGCCGAGTCTATTATTGTGTGTTGTAAGTGCATTAAGTGTGTTATAATCGCAGACTCACCTGCATCAACGCCTTTCCTATTATATTCTGTCCAACTCTGGTTTGGTTAAAATGGGAAACTTTACAGCAAAGAATAATAATTCAGTGCATTCACTGTATTAATTCATTACAGAAATGTTTAATAATACTGATTATGTTCAAGGCAACATATGCGTTTATAAAGTAAATGCCTAGTCAAATAATGTAATAACTCCTTAGCTCAGGTGCTGCTGCCTTCCCAATTCTTTGCCTTTCCCTTCAGTTTCAAAGACATTGATAATCATTTCTTACAGACTTTGCATTAGGATATTGGTCATCTCATATTGGCCTGGGATATAAAACCTTACAAATTCTAATCTTGATTCTGCGTCCACTCAATTTTTCAATAATCACATGAGTAGTCCCAACCCACAATATCTACTTCTAGTGTGTGGAAAAAAATTTTTAAGGCTCTTAGTTTTCAAATAATAAGTGAAGTCAGGAACAGACACTTTGTCAAAATTTAGAATGTACCTTTTATAATCACTATGAACATAAAATATATGAATCAAATTTATTGAAAACCTTAGACAAGCAGAAAATCAGAAGAGTAAGTGCAATTTTACCCAAAATGCATGATCCTTGGCATGATTCTAAAGCCTGGAAAGATCCAACTCAATATTTCGTATTTCTTTTCACGACATTCCTATGAGATAGGAAAAGCCAGGGACGTTTTCCCATTTGAAGAGAATGAAACTGGAGTAAACTGGAGTCTAGTAATATGCCCACGGCTCCTGCCTACAGCTTCCTCTGAGGTGACCAAAGAGGGCAATTTACAAAGACAAGATGAAACTTTTGCCGTTACTTAACACCATAACCACAGACTTTTTTTAGCCTTTGAAATAAAGTAGAACTGTTTGTGTGTGTGTGTGTAAAGGCAGTACTGTGTAATGGTAAGGTGCTGGTCTGGGACCTAGAACCTCTGTGACTCATCAACCCTTGGATATGTCACTTAGCCTCTTTGAGCCTCAGTTTCTGGGTCTGTACACGCGATGGAGAATAAGCCCAGGGGAGAGGGTGAGCTGAATTAGACCTCTACCTCGGGCTTTCTGTAACTCTAAAAATGTATTTACCCGAAGGCATGGCACATTGTGCTGGGAACTGCTGGAGAGCACGGCCCTCAGAAGGTGATTCGATATGTTTCCCAACAAAAGTCCAGTCAGAAGAGTCTAACCATCATCTCAGCAGGGGCATAGTGATGATTTAGGACATCTGGGCCAAGATCAAAGCGAAGATGACAATAGTTCTTAGAGCAGCATGAAAATAAAACTTCATAGATTCCAGATGTACTCAGGACAACCTTGGCAACAACGAGAAAACAAGCCAGGAGGCTGTGGCTATACACCAAAAGGAGTCACTGAGTGGCCTAAAAGCAGTCTGCCATCTGACAAAACTGAATATTGAGATTCCTCAGTGTGGTTGTTCTGTCACAAAGGAAAAATGAAGCACAGCTTCACACAGGGTGCTTGGAGAAGTCTGGAAGGCCAGGAGGAGAAAGGCCTGAGAGAAACAGAGCTTGGGAGTGACCTTCAGGAGCCCCCGGAGGGTCCCTTGATGAGTAAACAAATCTCATAATCAAAGAGCATTACACTTGGAAGCAACCTTGGAGATTATTCCAAACCACTCAATTTATAGAGAAGAAAACAGAGACCCAGAGAGCAGAAATGACTTGCCCATCTCAGTTCTTCAACATCCGAGTGGGCCGGAGTACGTGGAGGCCTCGCAGGGGCCTCCCGCAGAGCCTCCATCCTCCCACCACCGCTCCTCCCTGCCTGGGCTCCAGTCTGGTGGGCGTTACGATGGGATCACCAATATAGATTTTTCCGTGGTGACAAAGACCTTCTAATCACAAGCTAGAGCATGAGCCAGCTGGCACAAAACCAAACCTGTCTTTATGTTTTCCGTTTTGCCAAGTAAGACGTGTAAAAATATTATCAATAACAGCCTCAATGCGAACGCAGCCCAGAGTCTTTAATTGATGCTTTATTAACATGTGTACAAATCTATCTTGATTCATTCTAGGCCTGTTCATTACTTGACTTTAACTGAGGCGGGTAGGAGTGGGGCCCGTCTTCTCTGGAGGCAAGATCTGAGACAGATGTGTCTGAGGAACCAGGCTTTGGAACAGGAACACTGTGTGTGGCTGAGCCCCGGGCCTGGAGTCAGACAATTCATGCAGCACAAAGACAGAGCTGAAAGATGCCCAGCACTTAGTATTTCCTACAATCCTGTGGACTGTAGTGACAACATCAATCCTGAGAATTCTTCACATTTCTGACTGTGTGGCACAGGTCATCATGTCCGTTTTAATTAACTAACATGTTCTAAGAATAGTTGGAGGTGTTCATTCTCTTTTGCTCACTCGCTTTTATCTTCAGAAAACTGTCCCATCCTCTGTCCTCCTCTGCTTAAAACTGTATGGGTTTGTGCCGGCCCCGTGGCTTAGCGGTTAAGTGCACGCGCTCCGCTACTGGCGGCCCGCGTTCGGATCCCGGGCACGCACTGATGCATTGCTTCTCCGGCCATGCTGAGGCCGTGTCCCACATACAGCAACTAGAAGGATGTGCAACTGTGACATACAACTATCTACTGGGGCTTTGGGGGAAAAAAAAGGAGGAGGATTGGCAATAGATGTTAGCTCAGAGCCGGTCTTCCTCAGCAAAAAGAGGAGGATTAGCATGGATGTTAGCTCAGGGCTGCTCTTCCTCAAAACAAACAAACAAACAAAAAACTGTATGGGTTTTCTTGGCAAAGAATGCCAAGGCTGAAAGGAGTAATCTTTTACACTGGGG